TGAAGGATCCTCTTGAATGCACCAAATTGCCACCATCACTAGCCTTTCTACACTTTTCATGTCATTCCTTGCTTCCTCATCATCTTCCACCATTTTGTTTAGTTTCTTTTTGCTGTAGCAATCGTAGGCCCAATCGACTAGAGCCTCCTCTTCTTCTCCCATTGCAAATACAACACTTGACTTGCAGCAAATGATCTCGAGTACCATCACTCCTAAGCTATAAATATCGACTTTCACAGTGATAGATGCTTTCCTAAACCACTCAGGGGCGAAGTAACCTACCGTCCCTCTAATGTTTGTTCGTGCTGCTCGACTTTGCTCGGCCAACAAAAGTTTTGCTAGTCCAAAGTCAGAAATCTTAGGCATCAGGAACTCGTCCAAAAGTATGTTTTCAGGCTTCACATCACAGTGGATTATCTGTGTGCTGCATTCTTCGTGTAAGTACATCAGACCTCTTGCAATACCACATACGATTTGCATCCGTTGGTTCCAATGAGGTCTGGATACCCCAAATAGAAGGGTAGCCAGAGATCCATTGCTCATGTATTCATAAACCAAAAGCCGGTTTTCTCCTTCATCACAATAACCTAGTAAAGTGACTAAATTCTTGTGGTGAGTCTGTCCAATTGCATTTACTTCCGTTTTGAATTCTTTTTCGCCATCTGGTTCAACCTTATTCAGCATCTTAACGGCAATATATCGCTTCGGAATTGAGGGGGTGACCCCTTTATAGACCGTTCCGAAAGCTCCCCTGCCTAGTTGCTGCTTGAAGCCTCCAGTTGCCTCCTCGAGTTCTTTGTACGTATACCTTCTCAACCCAAATGTAGTAGAATCAAACTGTACATTTAGCATCTTCTTGTGATATATGAAGAAAAAACCAATTAGTATGGTTAACAGCAGAAGAAAATTTAGGAATACCGAACTACCAAGAAGTAGTGATCCAACAAGAACTAAAGTAGACTGATCTTTTCTTTTGAGGCNTGGAGCCGTCCATATTTCTATCCCTTGAGAACCGTGGAGAATGAGTTTTCCTTTATTTGTCAGCTCGAGTTTTGATCCTCGAGGTACTGAAAACTCGTTTTTGGACCAAACAATAGTTTTTTCTGGTATTTTATTGAACCAAATGGCTAAAAAGAAGTGATCTTTACTGCCAGATGAAGATCGCTGAAGAGGCCTAAATCCAAAGGCAAACTCGCCTGATGGCGAGCTCCACGGGATAGTGTTGTCAGTAGTTAACGAAGAGCCCAACTTTAACGTGCACTCCAATTGGCCTGCAGCGAAAAAGGCTGAGAAGAGAAGAATCGCTGATATGATCAAGAATGAATTAAACTGTAGAGATAGAAAAGCCATTTCTAGATCAAGATCAAGCAAACCTTGATGACACAACTGAGCATTTAAATTCAGAAGGCCTATTTCTTAATGTGTTCTTTTTGTGTCCGTAAATTAATTTCTCGTAAAAAAAATAAGGTGGTAAACTCAGTCAATCCACTCATGGACAAGCAATTGGTTTTGGAAATTTCGACTGAACTTGTCAAAGTATTTATTAGGGCTTGTTTGGTAGAGATTTTGAGAATTGATTTTTTGACCGTTAGAAGAAAAGTGAGGTCCACATGTGAGAGAAGAAGTCAAAGATTACGGCTTGAATAGTAAAATAACGGTAAAAAAATCAATTTTTTGGGGCAAAAAATCCCTACCAAACGGGGCCTTAATATTTGTCAGGTCCACAGAATTGTCTTCCGTGTTGACTATGGTCAATGAGTTCATATAGAAAGCTTGATAAAACTTTCTGCTGAAATTATAATTGGACGTGGAAGACATTTCAACTGCAGCATTCTCGAGTGTCTTAAGTTAGAAAATGCTCAAACGATGTGAAATTTGTGAAGATTTGGGATTTCATTTTAACATGTCAATATTATTAAGAGGAGTAATGATGGCTCATTTGAGCAGATCAATTTTGAAATTCGTATACTTGTTTTTGAGCTTTAATCGGATCGAATTGCTTGTCGGAGCTTAGTGAGCTCTAATAACATGTTAAAATTTGAGGTTCTATCTTAAAAGGTCAACCTTATTAAGAGAAGTAGTG